AGATTAGTTTACATATAGTAAATCAATACTAAAGCCAGTAAAATGCACTCTAGTTGAGCACACAATATCAGCAGCGCACAGCCAACTATGCCCTTGTACATACAGTCCTTGGTATAGTCCTTCGCCATTGCACGCACTGGTGCGCAGTGGAGCCGGTTGCAGTTCCTCCGCAAGCTTCATTGCGAGGCGCATGAGTGTCCTTGGGATGTGTCTTGCGGATACTGTCAGTGGACGTTGGCTCGTAGACATGAGGCACTGGACACTGGTGGCTGCACTGCACTGGCTTTTGGCACTCGATGCGCAGGTAAGTACACAAGCTCACACTGTTGACCCCTCCCTGCCTTCCACACGCGTCCAAGCACCACGATAACCACCCATTTAGTTACTCGCGGCAAGTATCATCGTGCGGCCAAGCTGCAATGGCAAGTGCACGACAAAAGAAACATTTGAACAAAAAACTTGGTTTAATTGCCGACATCTGTAAAACAAATACCGACTCTTGCGGCTATGACATCCGTCTCATGCTTTTTTATTTAATAAAATTATAAAGGGTATTGATAAGCTGCCAAGACCGAATGCGTAAACTGATGACGTAAAACGGGAAGCTCAACGCCGCGCTCAATTTAACGTTTTATCGTAGAATATTTATTTGCTCCCAAATCGAATAAACAATCTTCTTAAATAAGCTAGCCTGGGAGACAAAACAGAATAATCCTGCGAAACCTAAAGAATACAAGAGCTGATCCGTTTGGTCTAATGAACGGTGATTTGTAACTGGCCGACCTCGAAAATTTTCACATTGCAATTTGCATCAAGACCACATCGTGTCCGATCTTCAACGTTCACACATGCTTCGCTTCGACGGCCAGGTAGCAATTGTCACCGGATCCGGTGCTGGGATTGGTCGCTGTTATGCGCTGCTCTTCGCCGAGCGCGGCGCCAAAGTGTGCGTTACCTCTCGTCTGGATGGTCGTATCTCTTTCTCTAACGCGTTGTTGATGCTTCTCTAGTGTGGTGAATGATTTCAGCCGTGAGGCGGCAGACTCGGTTGTCAGCGAAATAAAGGCCAAGGGTGTGTAGCAGACTTGCCAGCTAACTGGAGCACATATGCGGGTACTAACTGTTTACCTACATTTATTTTGGGCGGCAGGCGGCGTGGCGGTTGCTAACTACAACTCGGTGACCGACGGCGAGAAAGTAGTGGCTACTGCCATTGAAAACTTCGGTCGCGTCGACATCCTGGTTAACAATGCTGGTATTCTGCGCGACGTGACCTTCGCCAAGATGACCAAGGGCCAATGGAACCAGGTGCTCGACGTGCACCTTCAAGGAAGTACGTCCTCCTTTGTCTAACCGACGGCCTCGTGCTATATTCTAACTTTCCCTTTACTCGACACTGTGCAGCGTTCGCGGTGACTCACGCAGCGTGGCCCCACATGCGCAAGCAGAAGTATGGACGCGTGATCCTCATCACGTCAGTGAACGGTCTCTACGGTCAGTTCGGCCAGACTAACTACAGCTCCGTGAAGGCTGCTATGACTGGCTTCGGCAAGTCGCTGGCCAAGGAGGGGGCTCGGTCGAACATCAAGGTGAACATCGTGGCCCCCGGCGCCGGCTCCAAGATGACGGAGTCCATTATGCCCGCCGACCTCGTGGCGAAGTGGAAGCCTGAGTACGTGGCTCCGACGATCGCCTTCCTGTGCCATGAGTCTGTTCCCTGCTCGGGCAAAATCTTCGAGAGTGGCGGCGGCTTTGTCGGCCAGGTCAAGTACGTGCGCAGCGCCGGCGTGTATCTCGATCTGGAGAAGGAGATCACGCCTGAGGCTGTGCAGGCCAAATTCTCCCAGATCACGGACTTCAGCAACGCGACGGACCCGGACGACGACGAGGTGGCTCCCCAGCTGAAGCAGATCCTGAACGCCAAGCTGTAAGCTCCATCAATTGAAGTAGCGAACTATCGAAGCTCGGTAGTCGTCGTAATGAAATGAATGAGCCGTTTTTATGTTTTCCACCTCGTAAAGTATTCAAAGAGTAACCTTTTGTGTAACCATCATGTAACCTGGCGCTGGAGTCGAAGACAAGCAGCAGCGCGAGAATTAGTTAGCTGCAGCAAAAAGGGAGCGATGATCCGTCTCAAAGCAAAACAAGCAGAGAAGAAGGCTGAGGAGAAGGAGGCTGCAGCTGCTGCCGATTCGGGCGAGGCTGCTCCGGCCCCGAAGCCCTAAGACGAAAATTCTTGGTGTAGGTCGAGGCAAGCGCGGTGGTGCCAGTAAAGAGAAGAAGCGCACGCCTGGCGAGATCCGCATTCAGAAAGGTACCGACAGCATAGAGAGAGGATAAGATATGAGAATGAGAGGAGATGGACTGACTTTATTCATTTACGTGTGGGTTGAAGATATCGCGGAGCTGGACGGTGGCAAAGCTGCGACAGTGGCGTTCCCGGAAGTGAACGACCTCACAGTGTTCAACGTCAAGGTGTGAAGGCTGTAGCTGAACTTTATTTACTATTAAAATTGTATGATGGAACCTGATAGGATTGGGTCTGGTGCAGGTTGCGGTAGACACGGGGCTGTGGAAGGGCGCGTCATACGACTTCAGCTTTAAGATCCCTCCTGTTGGTTCACGGTACATGTAGAGAGCGAGGATGTAGTCGGTAGACTGATCGAGTTGTGTATGTTACAGATGTATCCGCATGACCCGCCCAAAGTTCGGTGCCTGACGAAGGTAAGTTAAGGCAGTTTACGGCCCCTTTGTTTGATATTGTGCTAAATATGAACATTATGAATGACAGATTTATCACCCGAACATTGATCTTGACGGCAACGTGTGTCTGAACATCCTGCGTGAGGACTGGAAACCCGTGCTGGATATCAACTCGGTAATCTATGGCTTGATCTACCTGTTCTACGAGCCCAACCCGGATGACCCGCTGAATAAAGGTTCGTGGGATTGCATTTAATGTATGGAAGATCTTTGCATCTGACTTGTGTATACTTTGTAATATCGCGTCTTTAATGAGTACAGAAGCTGCAGAGTTGTTCCGCAATGACCCGAAGCAGTTTGCTACAATCGTTCATCGGTCTTTGCGTGGGTACAGCGTCCAAGGCATCGAGTTTGAGCAGCTGATCTAAGCCTCGCAGTACTGTTGTTCCTAATTCGAAGTGGGCGATTGATCGGTACTTAAGTAAGCGTCATAGACAGCACCGTGGTCTCTGGATCAGCAACGACGTAATGGAGCTGAAGGTTTTGGCTCAACTCGTGTGGCTTTGTACATTTTGCTTATTTTATTTGTTTTGTTTGCGCGGATTAGCGTCGCCATCTATCAGATTTCTCTCGAAGATCAAGTAAACTTCTTCCCACGATACTGCTACGAAATGTAAATGGCCTCGATCTCTTCGGACGTGCTGTCTCGAAGGACATTTTCCTGTAACCATAAGCAACAGATTCAATCGTTTGATCTCTTGAATGGGTATAACAACACACTTACCCTTTCCAGCTTGCACTTGCCCCCGACAGCAAGGTTGAGAGAGTATTCGTAAAAGTAGCCATCTGTGGTTGCCACGTACAGTTGCACTATGGGGTTGCTGGCATCTCGTGGGCCATGAATTGCACACAGGTTCGGCACTCCAGTAGAGCGAAGTCGAGCCTGTAAGAAACATGTTTGCGATTCTCAGATATAGCAATGCATGTCATACCATACAAGTAGTACGCACGTAGGCAAAATCGCGAGTGCCTTCAGCGATCCCCGAAAAGGAACTGGGCAAATAGGCACTCATAACGCCAGCCACGTCGTCAAAGTTGCTTGCTGCTGAGCTAGAATTGGTTCGCGTCGTTCGCGCTGAGCTGGCAGCATGCATCGCCGGTTTACCAGGCGAAGATCCTAACGTTGTGGAGGCAATCGGACTCGGTGGTGACGCAGCAGCTCCAAAAACAGTCGAGCCAAAGGTGCTTCCAGCGACTGCAAGCGTCGACGTGATTGGCGTGAAATGGCCAAAACTTCCTGTAGCTGAACTCTCAGCTCCAGTGAGCGAGAAAAAATGAATGGTACCGGTGTCACTAGATGCACACAGGATGGTGGAGCTCTCGTTAAATGCCAAGCAGTAAACTTGGGCACCATACGAGCCACGTCGAAAGGCAGCAACTTTCTTGCCACTAGGAACAGCGAATACACGAATCAACGTGCCCTACATCGATCAATTGCAAAGGTTCAGTATAAAGAGGGCACACTTGACTGGGTTGAAGGTGGCTCGTACCGATACCGAAGCAGTAGCCAGCAACGAGCCTTGTGGGTTAAATGCCATGGCCACAGGTGCCGTACGGTGAGCATGAAATGCGTTCAGCACACTGAGATTATTGGCGTCATACAGCACAATTTCGCCGGGCGAAGCGCCAGACGGGAAGGCCAAATGACCATTGTCGTGTGGGGAGAGCACACACAATGCCTTCGGGTTGGGAGATGTATCCAGAGTCTCCAGGATTTTCATTGTACTGATGTCAAAGATGTAAATTTTGCGCTCCAAAACTGCCACCAATCTGCAAATCCACGGTAAGTCGCTGCATCAGTCTACTATTCTTCTTGTAAGTTTGCAGGCATCGCTACCTCTGTCGGTTCATGCGCACAGCCAATACAGCCGTAACGAAATTCAGGTCGCAGATGGCAGCCCCAGTCTTGGTATTCCACACACGCAATCGACGTGGTGAGAACGCAGGCTACGAGCAAAAATAAATAGAGTCAGCAGGGTAACTCAATGCAACACAAAAGGCATCGTAGACCTGATCCCCGGCGCCGACAAGAGCAACCAAACTAGTGCAATACAACATCTCTGCGATACCGATGCCCCCCATGTCTTCCTGGAAGCATTTGCCGAAGGGTTCGCAGTTATAGATTGCGAAACCTTGGCGAGTACCCACACTGATACATCTGAGACCAATTCCACAGCGTGTAGTTTATCAGTATCACAACCGATTGCAGCGTCAGACGTGAGCAATGGAGTCAGTAATGGAAAGCACACGTACGAGGCTTCCTGGTTGAAATTGAGGAAGAGTAAGTCGGCGCGGCTGCTCTCGGCGCTTCTCATTCTTCTTCCTTTACTTGCCTCGTGATAATCAGCACTTGGTTTTGTAAGTGATATTAGCCAATTACATGATCTCGATTTGAACCGTTTTAGCCAATCGTTTGTTCTAAATGAATCTAACCTCGCAAACCAAAATTGTGGTATCGCAGTGCAAACAGACCAACACCAATGTGTCGCTACTGATATTTAAGTAAATATATAATAATAGTGGCGATAGATTGATACCAATGCAACGGTGGGTTTTCGGCGCGATTTGCTTTTGGTTGTGTTCTTCCGGATCTTACAGGTGAGCGAGAGCAAATGTTGTGCTCGCGAAGATTGAGAGAAAGCATTTTACCACATGAGGCGGGCCGTGGTTGTTCGCACGCGTATTAATAGTGATGTAAGCTATGGATGTGTATTATACATACTGTATTATTAAAAATATTCGTCCTATTACATACATTGTTTTCTTAACAAAGCGACGAGGTGCGCGAACAGGGAATGATAAAATTGAGCGAAGGAAAGCAAAGAGTAGAAGATAAACCTGACATAAGCTGTGACGAGCGCAACTGCAGATCGTGGTGAGAATCTTGGTATTATACCTCGAAGTCTCTTACCAGGTATTATTGATTTCATACCGTGACGCATCATGAACTTCCCCAAAAAGTACAGGACAGTATAATAGATCCGCCTTTACGTATCTTTGGATTATGCAGTGTTCATTCACTCGTTTCACGTCCTCACTTTTCGATACGCCTCGTAGGCCAACGACCCCACCACCAGAAAACTAAGCCACTGAAATGAAGACTCACGTGATAATTGCTACTGCTCTGGTAGTTGCTGCTATCATGGATTCGACAGCGGGAATGCCTCAGTTTCTGCAGGAGCTTCCAAATGGAAGCTTGTTCAAGCAGGATCTCGGTCACCCTGGCGATGACAGCTCCAAATAGACACCTTTTGCTCAAGCGTTCGATAACGCCGGGCAGTCGTGGTCGAAGAGTTTGTGCGAAGCCAAATTTCCTGGGTCAAGCATGACGAACGGCCAGGCTTTTGGTGATCCCTGTTGCACATGGAAGAAAGGTGGTAAGCCAGACTTTACGGTCGCTCCGTTCACAATGACTCCAGGCAAGGCTACCACGTGTGCGTCGAATGGTGCCCCCAGTCCAGCTTCTGGTCCATCGAACGGTCCTCCCGGCGGAGCCTCAGATGCTACGAAGAACTGGGCGCCAGTACCGGCTTCTGACGCCACGAAGGGCAACACAGGAGAATCTGCCTCACCTCCTTCGAGTCGTTGCCAGGGTAAGATGAGGTCGCGCCAATAAACTGGAAGGCATTGTATTCTGCCTTAATGTGCAGTCACTCTGAAATTGTGTTGAGCAATAAGAGAAGATGTTTAGTAAGTGTGTTTAGCGGACAAATACGACCACTCCGGTCAAATTTCTTGTTTGTTTAGCACTCTCGTAGATCTCAGTGTTTTATACTGCTACTTATGTAGTGGTAGCACTAAGTAAGTGCCAATGCTTCGACTGTCTCTTCGATGATCGACTCAAAGCTCGATCGTTTCCTAAATTGGAAGTTAGCACTTCTTCTGTAGAGTGTACTCGTTGGGAACGATTTGGCGGCTGTGCCACAGACTATTTATTAATACCTTGGAAGAATTTTAAACAGGTCCTGCAGACCTGGTCTTTTTGGACCACTGCTAGAACCAAATCATAAAGCCTTTATACACTTCGAAGTATAAAAAGTACTATTTTGAAATCACTTACTACATTATTACTTCAAAATATAGAGGTATTGAAAAATGGTTTGTATTATTAATAGTATTGTTTATTTAAATAATGACTTAAAACATTATTGTCGCTAGTCTCAAAAATAAATATTCTTTTCTAAGCTTAAAAGTCATCAAAAACTGTCAAGAACGAAAGTTTGAAGAAATAACGCTTTATCTATAATTTGGTACTTCGCTAATACCCTCAAATAAACAGCGTTTAGATTAAAAAAAACGTATTGTTCTCTGCTGAGAACACCCCACCATTTTATTAATTAATACGCGCATTCAGTTTGCTGGCTGAAGTTACTCTCCCTAAACAAGGTTGGTAATGTTAAGCGAAGCAGCACGATTGGCGACACATGCGGTGTACAGTGGACAGCTCTTCGATCATGTGCTCACCAAACCAAAGCAATCTGACTCTCACAATAAATCTTACTGCAACCGAGAAATGATCATCTAATGGCTGCTTAAATGTAAAATCTGGTCATCCTGATTTCAATTCATATTTTAATTTTAAAGCTTTAACAAGCCCCTGCGAGCACTAATACGCAGATAAACTTCGTTTCTCCGTTACCGTTCATAGTTAACCCTTTACCTACCCGGCCGTTCTTACGGGTCTCTATTAGACCGAATAAGAGCGCACAGATTCAAAATGTGAACGGTTCGATTAACCGGTTCGGAGGACCGAGAAAGGCGAACCGGCTGTTTCCGATTTGAGGAGAACCACGGCATTCGTGGTTTCATCGAAGAAGAACGCAGACAAGCACGGTGCTCAGGACTCGGAGTCCTCTCGGAGAAGAACGGGCCCGGCCCAACATGACAGCAAACCCCCCGACGTCTCTCACGATGGACTCGAGTCTCCGCAACCAGGTTGTACGATTGGAATGCCCTTCGGAGCTGGAAGAAGGCAAATGGGACGGTCCCATCTACGCCCGCCTTTTGGAACCAAGACATATCAAGCCAGGACACCCGAGTGTGTTCGTGGTGGACGATTCTTCTCGCCGCCCCGGCTGGCTGTGTAAGCTTATCTTCTACGGCTCCGCGTATGACGGGAACATGACAGGCTTGGGCTCGCTCGAAGCCCTAGCTACAGACCCGGTGGTCATCCCGTATTCGCGGCTTACTCGACCCGATACCGACTTAAGTATGGAGCTCAAGGACCGTCCTCTCCTCCTCCTGTATCGATTCGCTCGGTTCAATGCCTGTTATCTCCAATGCGACCGTCGCTCCTACCGCGAGGTCCCGCTCGATTCCTTCCTCGTTGGCCAAGTCGTTAGTTAACTTTCCCCAACTCACGGACGAACGTTTACTACGCCGGCTGGCGCCGCGCTTCAGCCGGCGTGTGACCACATGTGTGTGGTGGCTCTCCGGAGCCGCGCCGACGCGCCCACGCTCCACGTTGTCGTGCCCAGCGCCACCGTGTGGCAGCAGCAGATTTCCCGCGATGAATTTGTTGTAGGCTGGTGTCATGGCGTCGCTGCCACAGCTCAGCCGACACGCAGGCTATCCCGATTTCGTTCTCGATGGATTGAGCTCGTTATACCTACGGACACTGATTGCGATATTGGGAAGTTACTCATGGAAACTTTCGTCCCAGCAGGATCGGACTCCACCATGGACCTGGCATCTGAGAATCTCAGAATCATTTCTGAGTACGGACGCATTATCGACGTTAACCTGATTGACTATGCTCGCCGATACGTCGGCCCGGCCCGACCGTCTACCCGAATGGACGAAGATGTGGAGAATGACTCAGAGTCCCCGTCGGACGTCCTCGCTATCGGCCTATCTCGTGGCAAGGCACTGGACGGCCGGCAACCGGATATTGTCCGATACGAAGACTGTCGGTCAGTCGAGCAGTTTCTCTGGCGCCAACCGACGCCTGCGGTTACGCATCCGGCCGAGCCGGACCCTTCGGCCGTGCCGAACACTGACGCTTCTACACCCGCGCTGCTTTCATCATCTGTTTCGCAACCGCCGCCCCCAGCTGAGGCCGTGCCCTCAACTCCATCGGTCGTGGCCACTACGAATTCTGCCATGCCAGAGAACGTGTTAGCCGCGATTGCATAACTAGCCCGAACTACCCAAGCGGCGCTTACACAACAGGCCGCCGCTCAACAGTCGTTCCAAGAGCAGCTTCTACGTCGCTTATCGTCGTCCACCGGGACTGATTCTCGCGATCATCAGCACGGTGCTGCCGTGCCTCCAGCGGCTGGGGCACCATCCGGCAGTCTACCGAACGACCACCGTGGTCGAAATTCCCGAGAGCGCCGTGCTCACCGCGGGCGAAGCTCAAGCCCTCCGCCTAGACCACGCCATACACGCGAGCGGTCCCGGAGCCGGTCTCGCGACCGCCCCCGCCACAGCGGGCGCAGCAGCAGTTGGCCACCGTGGCGCGGGCCACGGTGGCCAACAACTCCTTCACCGTCCGTTACAGCAGCAACACGACGCCGCCACTGACGCACGTGCGTACGGGCGTTGGGACGACGCCAGCTACGTACATTCACGTCCTTCAGAGGTCATCCACCGGGACGACCGATACGACCATTACTTAGGAAACTCTCACGACCACGGCGCATCTGGGCCTTACGATCACTCGCATCGACGCTCGAATTATGGCTACGGTAGCCCTCGGACGGCTTCAGGCGGGTACACATCCGGGACGCCTGCCCTCGGCCAGTTCGGGTTTGGACCTGGAACCGATTACCGTCATTCTGGCGGCGGTTTCCACCCCCGTGATTCCGGACGCCAAGACTTGACGCTGGAACTAGCTGGAACTACTGGATTTCGACCGTCCCCCGCGGAACTTAGGGCTCACAGGACCGCGCGCGTTGGGCCCCGTCCGAATGGTGAGTTTATTGAGTCTAATCTTGTTTCGTTTTGGCAGCTGTCAGCTTTAGACCGGGTCTCTACTATTCTTCATGAGGAGACACGACGCGGGCAATATCGTGTTACCAAGGTCACAGCCAATATGGTGTTTGCGGTGGACTTCGGGACACGGCCGATCGACCACTTCCTCCCGCCCAGTGCCCACGGCGACGGCGGCCGTACCGTGGTGCACGACTCGTCCACATGGACATCAGGCGATTCTGTACCGGGTGGACTCATCACGTCGATGGACGACCTACGGGCAACACTACAATGCATTCGAGAAGTGGCTACTGAGTGGTACCCACGCGAAATTGTGGACGTCTTCGCTGCAGTCTGTGCTGATGCCACATCACGGGTGCTCAACAATGCTCCCACCGGACTAGTTCACGCTATGATCAACCTCTACACTCAT